TGTATCTACTATCTTTATTTTCATATAACATAGATAATATAAATCATACAATATATAATCGTAGCATACGTAAAACTATTCTGAGCGGAGAGGATCAGGGAATTTACTCATATAATATTTATCTTTATATTGGACATAACTTATGACTTATTACTTACCATTTACTTATGTAAATGGTAATTTATTTTTATTTTAGTGATGGTGTAAAGTGTAGTTAATGTGGTAGATTGAGGTGTTGAACAAGTTTAATATTATATACTTAAATAGGTAGTAAGTTTTTTTTTAATATTATGTAAAATATACTAGATAAGAAATATATTAAAACATAATATTATCTTTTCATTAATAATATCAATATTAATAATAATAATAATATTAACTTATAAGTCCATATAACACAAATTACCAGTATAGAAGGACCGTACTCGATAGATATGATGATTATATTTACTGTCTAAGCAAGTTAAATGGTATGAACAGTGCTCGAATTTGGGGGACGAAGCTCCTCTACTATTTTATTTTTTTAAATATAAAATATAAATCCATATTCACTTACATATTACAAAGTTAAATATATTAAATTTTAAATATAATAAAGATAACATTGTATAACTATGCTGCAATCTAATATTAAAATTGGAGGATTCAGGGGGGAGTGGTGGGGCTCAGCCCCCCAGAGCCTGTATTAAATATTTTTTCACTTGGTACGCATTTTTTAATTTTTCGGATTGAGACCCTATACTTAAAATTTCCCAATTCTGTACTAGGTATGAATAAGCTTAATTTATTAATCTATATTTTGAAAATTTCATTATCTAGTTATTGGATGGTGGCAAAATGTTTCAAATACCTAGAATATTTTTGAATTACAAAAATAGTTTGTTAAAATGTTTTATATCCATATGCATAGTAAATTTATGTGTCACATAAATTACTTTCGCATACGGGCTTTAAACCCTTTACCCGCCATTACTCGCTTATGAGAATTTCGCACGGAAGGTTTTTAAATTGAGAACCCCCGTCTCGTTTATAATTATTCTATTTTTTCAAACTGTACCATATCACAATTTGTTAAATATATTTAAAAATTAACAGTTTGTTTTTGTAAACCTATGGAAACAATCCGAAATAAATTAGTCCGTGTTATGTGAACAAATACGCTGGAGTAGTCAGTAGTCAACACCGTACCATAATATTTCACATACGCATTAAAATTAAATATTGAAAAATCGTCAATACTCAAGCACATGTTCTTACCTAAAAGTTTGATAATAGGTCAATTCACCCTAATATCAAAACTAACAGCACACTTTTGAAACTAGTCAAAGAAAGTTTTGCTTTGTCGTACGGAGCAACAAATCATCCAGATGATCCAGATGATGATGTAAATTTCTATCGAAACTGATTAGGTGGTACCAGGGTTGCACGGTCTAGTCGCAACTCGTTCTTCTGTTCGGGCCGTTCGGGCCGTTCGGGGTCATCGGCAAGAGTTTACAATAATATTATTATGTACCCGTTCAACGGCCTCCAAGCCATAGGTTCCTGTTAGTTATATTCAGCTAGTTTCCAATGTTTCTGTCACGTCGGTGTTAGTCTTCTCGTTTCACTGTCGAATGTGACGATCACAGCATACATTCCTGATACGTTCTGATCGTTCGTGGTTTGTAATACATATATTATTTATATTATATTATATTAATTATTATTATTATTATTATTATTATTATTATTATTATTATTATTATATTATTTATATTGTAATACATAAATAAACACATATTATGAAAAATTCCATACAACGCTCCGAAAATACTAAATACATATGACATTTGAACTTGAATTAATGAAATAAAAAGCGTGCATGATTATTATTTTAAAAACAACTCCTCGGAAGTAATGCAAGTTCCCGCTGAGTCGTCGGTTCAAAAATGGGGGAAAGAAAAGTTTAAAAACAAGTTATACAAAACATTTTCAAGCCAACTATGTTGTCTAAATTAATACTAAAATTGAAAAAGCTGATTTTCATTTTAAGAATTTCTTATTGTCTCCGTCTTACAAGTTACAAGTCCGTAACATAACAAATATTACTCTCAGCAGATCACATTTAGCAGCTCTAATACTGAAAAATTAGAGTGAATTGAAAAATTGTTAAAAAATTTAAAGGTAAGATTATTATCTAGGGTATCTCATATGCTTTTTATTATATTTTAATTTTAAAGCGAGTTACAGTGGACAAGTTTTATAAGACTATCTTATAAGACTCACTTTGGGACCAGCACAAAGTGAGTTTTATAACCGAATGAATCTTATGGGGGAAGTTGGAAAAATACAAAATATTTATAAATTTTTTTACGACATATTTTGTTTTATTTTAAGCTATTTAAATACATACATATTATATATTACTTATTATTTATTAGTGATTAAACGAAAAAAATATGATTAAAAAGCTTGTAAGTGGTCGCTCTGCTGCACAGTAGGTATTGTATAATGGATTGTATTAATCTTGAATTCAATGATATAATATCATTTTATAAGAAAAACAATTCTGAACGGAGACGGGTTATCAGCCTGGATATTTTATATTGTTATTATTTATTATATCATGTAAAATGAATTAATAGATAATCATTGAATTCAAGCTTAATATAATCCATTACCAATTCACGTAGGTCCTTATTATTTATGATGTGGGGGGGGGCTTATTATAGGTACATGTATGTTTAATGCCTTTTAATTATTTCACATGAACATAATTTATTTGTGTTTGGTGGTGACTGGAGAGGAGGGGAAAATTATGTGCGTGCAAATGTTGACAGATAATTTTCAACCATCGTCAGTGACAAAAACTGTTTTAGGTCCAAGATCAAAGATATTTGTATAAATAATTCAAAAAATTAAGTTAATATTTTACTATAATATTTATTTTTTGAAATATAAAAAAAATATATATTAAATAACATATATTATATTATGATTATTATGGTCCAGGATTTAAATCGTAAAATATATATTATATAAGGCCACAAAAATTTAAATATTTAATCTTGACACATTTAAATAATCACCATAAGATAAAAAAAATAAAAATAAAAAAAATACAATTATAATAAAAACCAGAAATGCATCTATAAAAATCAGAATTCAACATAATTTTAATTTATCTCTGCCGAACCACAATTTCTTGACATCGCCATTGCCCATTTTATTCGCAGCAACTATTATAGATATTTAAAAAAAATGTTTAATAAATATTTGTGATTTGATCAACAATTTTATTATTCAATTTAATAAATATAATATAGTATATTATTATAGTATTAACTGTTTTTTGTTATTATTGAATCTACTTTTGTATAACATTATGTTATATTTATGTAATTATACTGTAATTTGGTGTATTTAAACTAACTTTTGTTTATTTTAAGCATTCATAATATGTGTTGTAAAGGTAAATTAACAATATTTATTTTAAAAATAAATATTTTTCGCTTATCAAGTACATTTTTTGGTCATTTTTAAGTAGGTACATTTTTTTAGGATGTTAAATGTTTAGGTCATTTTTGCATTATTGTGTATTTTTTAGGTCATTAATATCCTAGATCTAATAATGAGTAACCTAACCTACCTACATATAAATTAAAATATGCCATATGGTATATTTTACAAAACTGATAATATAGATAAACAGAACATACGGGAACTGTACAGTGTACATCCTTCTCGACTACCTATTAGTTTCTGTATCAAAATTTATAATTTATAAATTATAAGCTTTTGTCGTAATTTATTAAATAAACGATACAAAATATGAGCATCAGAGCACGTAGCAGTTCAAAATTGCCGCCAATAGTATATACCTTACCATGGTTTGTACATAGTATATTAGTATACCGCTTTTATACCGCTTTTGGAGATTGCGTCGGCTGCACACCGGCCACGTCAGCTGCAGCAGTTCTACACGTAGTAGCCACGTCACACGGCTCATTACTCATGGACCAATGGGGTTCTTTAAAGTTGACAAAATATATATTTTGTTCGTCGTAGTTGTAGACGCCTCCCTTCTAAACTTCTATGTGTCAGCAACTGCGACTACAATACGTATAAAACAATCTGTGTGGAGTGCTTTTTGTTTTGACGCCGTCTGTACATCACCACCACGTCGTTGTCGTATAGTGAGTATAAGTATTGTGTGCTAGAAGACATGGCTAAATGCCTAAATACACTGGTATAATCTCAACTTGGACGAAATATCGTACAGCCCATGCATACATGTTTTTATTATTATGAAGGTATAATTAGTACCATATTTATGTTTAATTATGAAGTACACCCGTCTGCGTTTTGTGATGGACAATACCAACAAGCAGACAACGTATCACTGCAGACAAGGTATACAAGGTATACTTATCTATGACTGCAGATGCACAGAACCAAGTTGAGGATATACCAGTGTGTTTATCTGTGTTAGAGAATCTCATAAATCTCTAGAGTGTGCCATGTAGCTGCACTTTATATTATTGTGTTTTTTCCGGGGCTGGAGACAACAATTACCATAATTCCAAGTAAACATAACTTTAATGACCATGAACGTTTATGTTTCTATCATAAGTCTTATTATTTTATTTTTTTAATTCCTGTTCACACCAGCCGGTAAAGCACCTAAAGCTGTTGTGATGCACTGTTCACTGTTTGCTATACTAGTTATATCATATTATCATCATCATTCATCAAATGATATATATTGAACGTTTTTTCTAAACACTCACCCCGGGACAGAAATTTAAATAATTAAGAAAAAACAATAATACAACACACAAATGCTGTTATTAACTAGTTATCTAAATATATTTATATTATATTCATTCTAATGTACCTACTTATCACAATATATATTTTATTCTGCAGTTTATCGATAACTGCAGTCTGATCGAAAGTTTATTTGGATCATTATCAATTGTCTTTATTTGAAAAATCAATTGTTAATAATATTTTTAACTATGAATTCGTCATCATCGGTAAGTAATATAGATATTAATAATTTAACTATATATAATATGAGATGTTTATGGGACATATTTTGTACGAACTATGATTTCATTTTAAACAGGAAAATCCTATTTTTCAATTTGATTTTTAAAAGGGCTCTAGTTATTGAATTGATAAGTACTTTAATGGCAGATTCACCTTATATTATATATTGTTTTTTTTCGCATAACAGCAGATTAATAAAGCTAAATATGAGCCCCTGAACATTATCTTGCCATGTAGTATACTTTTAAGACAAAAAATGTGTATTAAACTCATTTGATTTATTATAACTATATTATATACATTCAATTTATTAATCAAATAATAATTTTTACACTTACAGTATGTATTTTTCCCTAAACATAGTGACTCAGAAGCACCGATATCAGTGATTACAGATATATTATCAGAAATTGACTCTTTAAAGTAAATAATTTACAAATATTATTAATATTACCATGTATAGGTATAGATCTCAATTGTTATATGTCTGTTTACTTATAATTTATTTGTTTTAAAATTAATTCTTTTATTTTATTTTTTTTAAAGATTTAAAAATATATCCGATGAATTTGGCAAGTTAGGGTTTACCAAAGTGAAGGATTTGGCAGGAGCGACAGTTGGAAAAGCCAGGTCGGTTAAATTGCCAGGAGATACCTTAAAGCACCTTTATGAAGCGATGAAGGTATATATATATATACTAATAATATTCAAAATATTCAGATCATCATTATAAAATTAAATAACATATATGTATATATTTTTTTTTAGATATATAGTGAAGTCCTAGGTAAGTTATAATTATTATCAGTACTATCTATTGCTACGTTATATTTGCAATTAAATAAACTAAAATTCAATCATTTTATACTTATTTAATGTTTTTTGATAAAATTATACATTAAAATAATATTATTCATTAAGACCACACATCCACACACACATGCCAACACAAAACTACCAAAACCATAAATAACATATTTTTGAAACACAACTTCAGTTTTCAGCCATTCGAAATATTATTTATTTGTATAAAACTGTTAAATGATAATGAAATGTCATTAAACGCAATGAGACTGCTTCTTTCCCATATTATTTTTGGTTTTTTTCTTACGACAACAACTTAAATAACACAAAAAAGAATGACATAATATACCGTAGGATGCAAATTAAAGCACCCCCTATAACAAAATCTTTTTCTGGAGAAGTGAGTCCTCATCACCTTTGGAATACAAAAAAATTGAAAAACAATTGTTAATTAAGTTCAATTTTACATAATAGTCTTATTATAATTCTATTATCTTTGAAAAATCCATAAACTTAAAATAAGTTTTGAATGACTTTAAATTATTAAACTGATTAATATTAATATTATGTCAACAACAAAAGTCAAGACCATTATACAAGACGTTTTTTTGTCTAAAAACTTTTTGACACTTCAGTATACTAACATTTTGCATATATCTTGTATTCCATTCATGATCTGATCCAGGTATTAAATGTTTATACAAGTCTACTAATACAGCTTGATTATAAATAATCTTAAAATTATTTACATTGAATGTTTCATAAATTAGAATAGTATTAGTTTGTTTAGGAAGATTTAGTAAATATTTAATAACACCATTTATTGTTGTGAAATTGAGCTTGGAGCTGATAATGTTAATAAAAATCCCTCCCCAAATAGATATACCATTTGAGAAAATAGATTGCACTATAACTAAATAAATAATTATTTTATAATTTACACCTGATATATACCTGGGCACATGGCTTCATGAAATACATAGACAAATGATCATAAAATACCTTTAATATAATTTACATGACTATCCAATCTAAGTCTGTAATCGATTATTAATTCAAGATATTTTAATTCATTAACTTTTTAAGTTTTACACATTTCTGGTCACATTTGATATTTAAACTAGGATTACATTTTAGAGAATGGACAGTCAAATTATGTCCATGTAAAACATTATTAACAGGTGAATTAAAACAAATTAATTTAGATTATAGTAAATTTAATAGGTAATTAGCAACTCCATGAATAATTCTAATTTTTCTTAGCAATAATTCATGATTTACACAATCAAAGACTTATTTTGATATTGAGATAGGTCTATAATTTCCACATTATAATTTAACCTGATTTAAGTTAATAAAAAATTTCATTTTTGATTCAATGACAATACCTTATTTATTTGTAATCTTATACACTTTATTTATATGTTTGCTCGGTTACCTATGATCTCATTAATAACTGTAACTTGTTTACTGTCATATTTACTTTGTTTTAATTTATTTTGATAGTTTATTTGTTTTGATTTTCTTATCATTAAGTTTAACATATTCCTATATAATTTGTAGAAGTTCTTAAATTTTTAATTGAAAAGTCATATATCTCAGCTTAGAAAAAAGTTTTTCTCTATTTCTAATAGAAGTAATAACGCCAAGTGTAATCCATGCTTTTAGATTCATCAATTTGTTTGGATTGTTTTCATCAATAGACATGGATATTTAATAAATTCTTGCATCAATATCATCATTGATCTATTATTACAAAATAGAGAGAATAAATCATTTTTCATCTTGAGAGTCAGTTGTAATGAATTTTTTAGTACTTGTTTTTCAACTATTATTATGTTTAAGGATTCTCTAACCAATACACCATCTCGTTTATTTTATGTTCCTAATAAGTTAATAGTTTTTTAGCTATTTAATTTAAATTCAAAATCATTCAGAAGCCAGGTTTCACATAATAAAATAACATTAAAATAATTATTTATTGATCCTAATAAAACATCATTGAAATGTGCCTTATTACTACTTCTATTAATTTGAAAAACGAAAACCTATTATTATACAAAGGTATATCATACATATATTTTTTTTAGATAAGCTTCTAAAGTCTGCAAAATCAGAAATTAAAAATGGAAATTTCATTGAGGCACAAAAAATATGCAAAGTATTACTTACACATAAACCGAAAGATTTAAATGTTTTACTGGTTAATGCAAATTCATTTTTCGAATGCGAAAAATATGATGAGTGTTTGGAGTGCTTAGAAAAAGCAAAATCTGTTAATCCCAATTGTTCCGAAGTTTTATTAAATATGGCATTAGTTTATCAGAAGAAATCAGAAAACGATTTAGCAAAAGAATACTATTTTAAAGCATGTAAAATAAAACCGTATTCTGCAGACGCATGGACGGATTATGCCGATTTTTTAAATGAGACAAATGATTTAGCCAGAGCTGGTTTTGCTTATGTCCGTGCTTTGAGCTTACAACAAGAATCACATGAAGTACGTAATAAGTACGGCAAACTACTATTAAAATTAAACAAAATAAAAGAGGCTAAAAATCAATTTAAGATGGCCCACAACAGTGCAAAAGAATGTCCAGAAACATTAAACTATTTAGCAGATGTATATTATAAGAGCGGTAAATTTGAAAAATCGATTTTGAAATATAAACAAACCTTAGAAATAGACCCTGATCGGGCGAATGCTTGTTTTCATTTGGGAATGGCTTATATAAAACGTACAGAGTACCAAAACGCATCTAATGCATTTAAAAAAGGAGTAGCGTTAGAACCAGAAAATAAATCTTATTTAAAAATTTTAGCAGTTACATACTGTCTTCTAGGCGATATGGAATTGTGTGCTGAAACATACAAGAAGTGTTTGATACTCGAGCCCGAGGACTTTAATTTAAATTTGGAACTTGCTTTAGTGTATCTTAATAACATTCGAAATTATCATCAAGCTTCATTATATCTTGAAAAATGTACCCAGTTAAATCCGGATAGAATTGACGTGTACCAAAATCTTTTTACTGCATACAAGAAAAATAAAGAACCTGTAAAAGCGTCTGATGCTTGCATGTCCATCGGGGATTTGTATATGGAGAAGGATGATTATGAAAATGCAAAATCCGCTTTCACTTGTGCGGCAATTATGAACCCGAAGAATGAATATAGTCATTGGAAAATGGGCCAAACCTTGTATATGCTGGGACAATTGGATTTGGCTCTTATAAAGTAATAATTAATAAACACAATTAAAAGTTTAAAATATGCTCTAAAAAGACCCTTTAAACATTCACCTAAAAATCTACCTTATCAACCTTTCAGAAAATACTCTCTTCTTTTACTTCAATGAACCTAAAAATTTATATTATACAAGTTACAATAAGAAACATATTATGTATAATAGGTATATGACGTTTACTTTAACCTTAAAATAAATTTAGAAAATATTTACATTTAGGTATCATATTTTAATAGTATGCTTAAACTTAAAAATATGTAACATCTTTTCTTTAGTAAATTATTTAAAACGGTCAAATTTAAAACAAAATTTCCAATTTAACAACAAACAAGTTATTGAACAACTTCTATAATTGTGATTTTTAATTTAAACATTTTTTTTTCTTGCAACTAAATACTTAGTAATTTACAACTAAAATTCTCTAATCTCCTAAATATGCTTAAATGTACAAAATACATTGTTTTTTCTATGAACTCTGTAATTGACAATTTTATCCTTCCACATTTTCCATGGCCATTAAACTGCATATAAAGTCAGTAACTTCATAACATGTACATTACATTTTGTTTGTATTTAGCTATATTTTAATATGTTACATTTTTGCTTATTATCAATTATAAAGATATTAAGTCAATCTTAATATATAAGTTCAGAAAATAATATTAATAATTCTCATTAATAAATGGTTCATTATTTTGCATGGTTAACACTATTAGTGTACATCTTATATACATTTGCGTACATGCAATTAATTTTTGCTATTTTTTAAATGTTGATTACAACTGTTCTTTTTTTAACTTACCTTCTATGTTATTCATTTCTGTTTCCCTTGATATAAATATGGTACTTGCTATTTAATTTATACCTTTAAAAGTATGTATCTTTTCAATAAAACTATTAAACATATAATTCATTTTTCAACAGATACAAACATACAATAGCAATAAAGCCGAACTTTCCCGATGCCTTTTACGATATGGGGGTACTATTTGAGGAACGTGGTCTTCTCGAAGAAGCCAAAGTACATTACGAAAAAGCAATCGAGATAAGTCCGAACAACCATATCAATGCTAGGTTGAAATTGAACGATATTTTAAAGAAACAAACGGATCTTAATAATGGTATTACGGACAATGAAATGCAATAGAATATGACAATACACCTGTGAAGTAGATGTAATTTGATATTCTACATCCTCAAACGACAATATTAAATCCTGGTAAATATTTTATTAAAATTATTTAAAGAAGTAAAGTGTGGAACTTTAGACCTTTTTTTTAATAAATTACTACAATTATTATTATTTAATAATAAAAAAAAATTTTAAAAATAAGGATTTTATTATGGTATGTTTTGTTGATTTTAATATTATTTATGTAGTATATATTTTTTTTATTTCAGGTTGAATAACTTTGAACACCATAATGATTGGTCGCAAACCAAATTTTTCGATGCTGTTAAAGTTATTAATAGTGAAATCCATACATTAGTTGACATGAGTGGTTACACAAAAGATGCCCAAACTGAAATATTTGATTTGAGACTGGCTCCAATACAAGTTTCATGAATTGGTCATCTTAGTACCAGAGGTGCAACATTCATGGATTATTTCATTACCTATAGATAATATATGTTGTCCTCCAGAATTTCAAAATGTATATACTGAACAATTGTACTATTTTTGTTGTTGACCACAAACAGAAGTTCACTAATTTACGACAACACTTATGCATTGAAGATGAACTGGAAAGATCATCTTTCAACTTACCAATTAATGTTGATGTGTTTTGTAATTTTAATTTACAACAAAATAACTAAAATCGTAATTCTTGGTTTTAATATGTAATTTTTTCCAAATTTTAATTTATAATGAATGTAAAAATAACTGTGTATATATTTTTTAGATTATTTGATTACAGTGTGAGATTTTTTGTTTTAAAGGTTAAAACTTAGCTTTAATAATTGAACATTTTATAATTTTTAACTTTCGTGGAATTAGTTTTGAACTTTGTCTATTTTTGGTCTAATTTGACTGGGCATTATCGTATGAGAATTTGTTTTTGAGATGATTATTATCCAATGTCTAGCTTTAAAAGATCTTAAAAAATTAAATTGACTTTTCAGTAAACTTTTTTTTATTTAATGTAGGAAAACTCAAGGGCAATTATGTATTACATTTTCAAAGCTTATATATAGATAGATTAGTTTTTACGAATTTCTAACTCAAAATAATTTGCCCATTTTCGTTTTATTGATGAATTTTATCAACAATTACACTTCAGAAGCTCATAGAAAATTATTGTGGATTAACTTTTTTTTTATATTCCAGCTTCCACTAACATCGACTTATGAGGAACGTTTTATTTAATTCAATGAAAATCAATAGCATCAAAATATCTGCGAAAAAATCACCTTCACTATTGCCAACAAAAATATTAATATAAAATAGGTAAAAAAAACATCCTAACTCTTGAAATATCACGGTTTCCTTATGTGATTTACTCGCTATTGACCATTATTTTAATTTATTAGTGAATAATAATAATATAATTAATACTAATAAAATGAAATATGGTGTGCATTAATATACGGTAGCGCAAGGAGGTCATTCACACTACTAAATGATCGTTTACTACGCAGCACACACACGCTTCGCAAGCACTTACTATTAAAATTGACTATATTCAACTCCTTAAAAATGGTCGGTATCCAATAACCTTAAATTTAGATGTTTGTCTTCAACTGAACCTATTTAAACAAGGTAAGTAAGGGTCTAGTAAGGGGGTGGACTAGTAAGGGTCCGGCCCACTATTCCAAGTCCATTAGCAGCTTTTAAAGGCGTTTATAGGCAAATTTGTTTACTCTAATTGCAAAGCTGGACAAGTTAGTCATTTTTTTCAACTAGCTGAAGTTAAGTTACTTAAATAAAAGAAACTAACTAAGTTAGAATATAAGTTAGTTTCTGAAACTGTCCAAATTTCTAACTTAGTTAGTTAGAAGTTAGTTCGGTGAATATGATAACTTAAGTTAGAGTAGATGTTGGAAGTTAGTTTTTTGTTGAAATGTAAATAATAAGTTATCCAAATTAAATTATTGATTAAAACTGAAAAATTGAATTAATTACCTAGTAATTAGATCAAAATGATCTAATTAGGTATCTAAGTTATAATTTCAATTAATTGGTATATCACTTCTCAGTTATTAAAACATAAAGGGTGAAACAAAATAATATAGATAACAGTATGACAACTTAAAATATTAATATTAAATAATTATACATAATAATATAATCTTTATGATTATTTTTTGTTATATTTTATTCAAAATATTTATTATATTTTAACAAAAGTAACATTTCAAAGTTATCATCAGACATAGACTCACGTCTTTCATCATATTGGCCTCCTGCACTAAAAAGTCTCTCAGTGTGAGCACTAGAGGGAATAGGTACTTGTATTAGGTATACTTAATATACAATTACCACCCATTACACTACCATGAAAATTTGGCATCGTGTCTACATTAATCGGTCAAGCCACCTATATAGATACTATTTATATCTGGTAGATATCAACATTCTACAGACTACGCGGAAAAGCAGTAGTTCCTGTGCGTGCATTACTTTAAATATTAACAATTAATAATATATATTATGAGCCAATAATTTATATATTCATATAGCTTTAATGACATGATTGAGGAACAGCTTTTGGAATTTTGAAATAAAAATAATAATAATAACTAGTTAGTTTTTTTTCTATTGAGTTAGATTAGACTATTTTACATATTAAATTCAACTAGTTAAGTTACACAGTTAATATGAATTAAAACTAATTAAAACTAGTTAAGTTAGATAGTTACTCAAAAAGTAACTTTCTAACTTAACTTTAACTTTCTAACTAGTTAGTGCCCAGCTTCGTCTAATTGTGCTTATAAACTTATACAATAACGTGTATAACAGATCTACCTGACAAATGATATAACTTGTTCTAATAATTAAAGTATTTATTTTTAATAATTTATAGAACCTTGTTCTACAATAAGTAGGTACAGTATAATATTTTTAACACTGATTGTAAAATTTGTATATATAGGCACAAATAACTAAGTACGTAGGTATCTAACTAAAATTCAATCTTTCGATATTTAACTGCTTTTACTCTATTTTCAATATAGAACTTATATTGAGCATAATCTCAAATATTAAGACATTTTCTGCAGGTCCTAAGTAAATTGACGACAAGAGTGAAGAGACCCGTCGGACTGTTTTGATTATCAGACAGTGGAAATCCCTCCTATCCAGGCATCCAACTCCCAAATTACGCCAATCTGTGATATCAAACATAAAGAAAAACAACAATTCAAGTTATGTCAAATTGTGCAAAAAATTACTTATTCAAAATATAATAATTCAGTTATAATTAACGATAATGTGAATATAGCAAGTCATATGCATATAATATTATTTAATAGTCACAACAATTTTACACTATTTATAATCAATGATACATATTTGTATATAGACCACAATTTAAGATAGTAGATACTAAATCGTAATAAAGACAGCTATTGAATTCGTAGAATGGTAATGTCGTTATTTTAATAATTATTGAGAACTTCTCAAGTTTGTAAGCAAAAATATATTTTGAAATGCCATTTACAAATTTACTAAAACTTAAATAATTTTCATAGAAGTCATAATCAATCACATTCTTAGGGAGGCACCATGAACATTTTAAATTAAGCATTTTTTTTTTTTTTTGATTGTGTTGATTGTGCTATCTAACATGTTACAGTTACTATTTATTGATCCAGATATCTCATTGTGGACTTATAATATGCTGCTAGTCTCATAGGCTCTATGGCTAGTCTTCATGTTTCTTCAAAAATTGACTTACAAAATGGTTTTTTTGAAAACCTATTTATAGATTTATTATATAATAGACTACCTGTTTGTTATGTAGTTGTAAAGAGAGCGTTATTTATTATAAAACAGAACTCTGCTGTAACTAAAGAATCTTTGAAAACAATCAATTATTGATAATTTATTATCTTAATAAACCAGACACACTTTGGCTCAGATTTTGAGCAGCAAGACACACATTCATTATTTCATTAAGGAAATTTATATGATGGATAGTCTATGGGTGGTTTGGACATCTAAAAGCTTCACTAACTAATTTCAATATCCCATTTAATGAGATAAATTAATGAATTTATTTAATAAATTTAATGAGTTCACCATTATTATTTGTTAATACTTTTTGGTTATGAAAAGCATTTCTTATAAGTTTCAGCATATAAACTGGATCATAAAAATAAACATTTTACTTTATTATTTTTATTTCTTCCCTAAATGTGAAATCTTTTTAACAATTTGCACTAAAGTACTATATCTCAATGATTAAAATGAAAATATTACAATTTGTATTTATTATAATTGTATTGTATTATTAGTATTAAACATATTGATTACATACAAAAGAGACAAAAAAGAAATGTTCGTAATTAATAATAATGCATAATACAAAAATATAATTTCATTATTTTACTAATACAGTAGAAGCTCGATTAACCACAGTCTCGGGACCAGAGCTTTGACGGATAATCGAAAAGATGGTTAAGCGAGCAACAAAAATTTAAACATACATACATATTATTTATTATTTTTTTTTAGTAATTATGACATCCATATTGATATAATTAGGTACTACTATTTATTGGTACATTATTATTATTATTTTTTAATTTATTAAAAAGCTTTATTATTATCACTATAACAATTAACTGTTTTTATCTCACGCATAATATATATATATACCTATCGCTTATCTAGTAAATATTGCTGGAAAATTTAAGATTATATATATTATTATTTAGGACCTACTCATACACAAGGCGATTAGATTTTACTGCAATGCGTAAGTATGTAGTCCGAGCAAGTGCGGCCTGACGGTTAACCGAGAAAGACAGTTAATCGGGGGACGGATAATCAAGGTTCTACTGTACTTAGTAACACATTATTTTGAATTTAAGGAAAAATAGTAATTAGTACTTTTGTATTTTTGTATTGTTAAAAGTAGCTGCAAATATTATTTAATTCTGACAATTTATACTGAAAAAACACTTGATAGAATGACTACAAAA